ATAAACATCAGGGTGCATGTATCCCTTCAAACTAGTATTTTTGTATTCTTTGGGTAAATAAATACCTAGTAGTGCAGTTGTTGGATCGTAGGGTAGTTCTTTTTTAACTTTTTGAGGGACCTCCATACTGTTTTCCAGAGTGGCTGAACCAGTTTGCATTCCCATCAGCAGTGCAAGAGGGTCCCCCTTTCTCCACATCCTTGCCAACACCCGTTGTTTCTTGTGTTGTTGATTTTAGCCATTCTGACAGGTGTGAAGTGATATCTCATTGTAGTTTTGATTTGCATTTCCCTGCTAAGTGATGTTGAGCATCTTTTCATGTGTCTGTTGGCCATCTGTATATCTTTTTTGGAGAAATGTCTATTCGTGTTTTCTTTCTTTCTTTTTTTTTAATGTTTATTTCTTTATTTTGAGAGAGAGCAAGAGAGAGACCACGTGAGTTGGGGAGGGGCAGAGAGAGGAGGAGAGAGAATCCAAGCAGGCTCCATGCTGTCAGTGAAGAGCCCGATGTGGGGCTCTGTGCATGTTTTCTGCCCATTTTTAAATTGGATTGTTTGGCTTTGGGGGTGTTGGGTTTTATAAGTGCTTTATATAATTTGGATACTAACCCTTTATCAGATATCTTATATGAAAATATCTTCTCCCATCCCATAGGTTGCCTCTTAGTTTTTTGATTGTTTCCTTCGCTGTGCAGAAGTTTTTTATTTTGACATAATCCCTATAGCTTGTCTTTGCTTTTATTTCCCTTGCCTTAGGAGACATACCTAGAAAGAAGTTGCTGTAGTGATGTCAAAGAAGTGACTGCCTGTGTTCTCTTCTAGGATTTTATGGCCTCAAGTCTCACATTTAGGTCTTTAACCCATTCTGAATTTATTTTTGTGCATGGTGAAACAGAGTGGTCCAGTTTCGTTCTTTTGCATGTTGCTGTCCAGTTTTCCAACACCATTTGTTGAAGACACAGTCCAATATTCCATTAGATATTTGTTCCTTCTTTGTCAAAGACTAATTAACCATATAAATGTGAGTTCCTTTCTGGGTTTTTTATTCTGTTCCGCTGATCTATGTGTCTGTTTTTGTGCCAGTACCATACTGTTTTGATCACTACGGCTTTGTAATATAACATGAAGTCTGGAATTGTGATGCCTCCAGCTTTGCTTTTTCTTTTTCAAGGTCGCTGTGGCTATTCAGGGTCTTTTGTGGTTCCATACAGATTTTAGGATTGTTTGATCCGGCTCTGCGACAGATGTCGTTGGTACTTTGATAGAGATTGCATCGCATGTGTAGATTGCTTTGGGTGGTATTGACATTTTAACAATATTTCTTCTTCCGGTCCATGAGCATGGAATGTCTTTCAGTTTCTTTGTGTCTTCTCTGTTTCTTTCATCGGTATTTTTTAGTTTTCAGAGTACAGGTCTTTCATATCTTTGGTTAGGTTTATTCCTAGGTATCGTATTGTTTCGGGTGCAGTTGTAAATGGGATTGATTCCTTAATTTCTCTTTCTTCTGCTTCATTATTGGCGTGTAGAAATGCAACTGATTTCTGTACATCGATTGTATATCCTGCGACTTTGCTGAATTCCTATATCCGTTCTAGCAGTGTTTTGGTGGAGTCTTTCGGGTTTTCTATCTATAGTATCCTGTCATCTGCAAAGAGTGAAAGTTTTACTTCTTCCCTGCCAGTTTGCATATATTTTAATTTCTTTTTGTTGTCTGATTGCCGTGGCCGGGATCTGCCACATCTCTTTACCTGTGACCTCAGGCAGGTTTACTCACATGTTCTTTGCCTAAAGCTCTTCTTTTGTAAGATGTGTGTAGTCACAGTGCCTACCTGTCTCGTAGGGTTGCCATGACGATTACATCAGTTGATGTCTGTTAAATACTTAAAACAGACACATCGTCTTCCTACTAGCTCTAGCTTCCTCTTTCCCCTCTTCCTGGAGCATCCACTTTTCCCCTTCAGGGCTTGTATCAAATAGTACCTCATCTGTGATGCCTTTCTCAGTTTCTCCCGTCAGCCAGCCACTCTGTTCTCCTATTATTCTCAGTTAGAATGATCTATGTACAGACTGTAACTTTCTCAAGAACACAGCAGCATGGTACATGTTCATACCCTGCAGCTCCTGGCAAGGGCAGGTGCGTGGGAAGGGAATCAGATGTTTGTGTACTGAGTAAAGCTGTGGATGGATCACTGTAGAACAATGTGTCTTCAGAAAACAAAAGATGATTTCTAACTAGGGGGGGGCTCAAAACTTGACTTCAAGGAAGAAATGGGGTCCGAAAGTCCGTTCCCTTTCGGCAGAGCATACTAAAAGTTGGCTCTTGGTTAAGGAAATAGTAAATGTAGGAAGCAAAATATTTCTCAACACGTGGTTCAGAGTTATAATTATCAGTCAACATTCTGAAAATTAGAACCATGTTGTCAATTTATCTTCGATGTTTTATTTCATGTACATGTACATACATCGATTCCTACACCATTCAGTGAGGATTTGAAAGATACTAGGTGTCTGATGAACATTGTTGAATGCAATAGACATGGTTTGTACCCTTGAGAGCTTACCTCTTAGCTGAAGAATGGTAGGACCAGTCGTTCCATTGGCACATTGACAATAAAACCTATGCTACAGAAGGCATAATGGGAATATGTTTTATTTTCTGTGTTTCCTATTCTTAACCTTCAAAATCAAATTCATCGTGTTTACATGTCGGCAACTCAGCTAGGTCTATGTAGCATCATAATTTAACCTCAGGACATTTTTGTTTGTATACTTTAAAATCTATACTTAAACTTTTATTCTCTTTCCCCACTTTTTATAAATCTTCTGCCTGTCTTTTCTTCCCCATCCCCATAGCAACCGCCTAACTGGCTCCTTCCCTCCAATCTATTTTCCATCTGTCTTTCCCAGATCCTATCAAGTTACTTTTCTGCTCACCATCCTTCAAATAATCTCTGAAGGCCTTGGGATGACATACAAGTCTCTTCTTTCTGGCTCTGACTCACCTTTCAGAGCTCATTTTGTGGCTCACTATGAACATGCTTTGTGTTTTTGAACTTCTGTTCATTTTCTTATCCTTCCCCATTTTCCCTTTTTCTACCCAGCAAGACCATCCATTCCAGCCAACTGCATCCATTCCAGACCCAACTCAGAGGCTATCCCTTACTCCTGGGTCAGTCGTATCCTCAGTGTTCCCAAGCATATTGATCCTGTCTCTGTTAAATCTCTTCTCGGGCTAGATATAAAGAGCTGCCTAAATGTTCCTCTATAAATTCTTACATTCGAAACTGTATCATACTCGTCTGTAATGTAGAGCCTACCCTTTTCCCCAGGAGAGGAAGAAAGGGGAAATATTCCACAGCAAACTGAAAGTCTGAAAGGGAATCTTCTAAGGGGCTTTCATTGTCACCACTGACCAGCAGCATCAGCATTATTGGGAGCTTGTTAGGAACACGGTTGCCCGGGCCCCACCCCAGACTTCCTGAATCAGCATTTTAGCAAGTTTCCCAGGTCACCTGTACGCTCCTTAGTCTGAAAAGCAAGACTTAGAGCACGAAATGGTGAAAGTCCCAAATCTGCCTGCCAGCAGATGGGACACGTGCCTCCTCCGGGGTCTCCTCAGTGAGGCCACTTGGAGAATGGACACCAGAGGAGAATGCTGGGGGGCAGCGGGGGAGGGGGCGGGGGGAGCTTGGGAGCAGCACTTAATAGTACCGGCTTCTGCTTGCCTCTTCAGACTGACCTTTATGTCAGCATGAGCCTCATTCGTGGTTATTTGCTTTCTCCTTCGCAGGTCTTTCGATGGATTCTCTAGTGCTCAAAAGAATCAAGAACAACTTTTGACATTAGCAAGCATGTTGAGGGAAGAAGGAAAAGTTTTCAATGAGAAGGTTTACTATACCGCAGGCTACAACAGTCCTTTCAAGTTGCTTGATAGAAATAATGAAGTGTGGTTGATTCAGAAAAATGAACCCTGCAAAGAAACTGAATGAGGGAAAAAAGGAAGTACCATTGCTTAGCGTAGATATCCAACGTACCGACATGTAAAATGCAGGTCTAGTATCTCTACCGGAGAGAACTATGGTGATTTGAGCTTATTTCCAAGGTGCCTTTTAATGCTTGAAGCTTCATCTAGATACACAGGTAATAGGGGAGAGTCTTCTAGAAACATGAGAAGCAGTCACAGCTCTGGAGGGTGGGTATTTCTATGAGGGTCCAGGAAGTGTCTTTTTGCTTGACCCTTCTTCGCTGTATCACAATCATGTTGGCCTTTTTTGACTTGAATTTATGTCATTTGGATGTTATCCCCTCTAGCTATTATCAATAAAAATGCTAAAGAGGTATCCTGTGTGGAACAGTTCGGCTCTCAAGCCTAGAGAGGTGACCTTCAGCTGAGAACAGAAATCAAATTCTTTTGCACCTTTTAGGTTGTGATTTTTGATACGAGACAAGCTAGGTTTCTGGCTTTGAAATTATTATGGATATAAAATTTCAAAACCTCAGGCAATTATTTTTCCAAAGGTATTTGTTTGCACTGATTATTTATTGGTTTTTTGCCAAAAAGAAATTAAATTTCTTTTTCAGCTCACTTAATAAAACCAACTGGAGGACTCCTTCTAGCCCTCCTACTAGAATATCCACAGTACCAGCCTCTACTGGTAGGAGGTAAATATTTCTAATATTTACTCTAGAGTTCTATATAAAATAGACATCTCTTATGCAATAAATTCCATTTGAAAGAAGAGAAGCATACTTCTGATGACCAGCATTTAGTTGTGATCTGAAACATGTTCAATAAAAAAAGTTGAGTGGTGCCTCGGTGGCTCAGTTGGTTGAACATCCGACTCTTGATTTTGGCTCAGGTCATGATCGCAGGGCTTGCACTCACTCTGTGTCTCTGAGATAAGATTGAAAACGGGGCCCCCGGGTGGCTCAGTCTGTTAAGCATCCAACTTCAGCTCAGGTCATGATCTCACGGTTTGTGAGTTCTGAGCCCCGCATCAGGCTCTGTGCTGACAGCTCGGAGCCTGGAGCCTGCTTGGGATTCTGTGTCTCCCCCTCTCTCTGCCCTTCCCCTGCTCACACTCTGTCTCTCTCAAAAATAAACATTAAAAAAATGTCTTTATTAAAATTAAAATTTAAAAATGGATTTTGTACTATTCAAGCACAGCATATCCCATTTTTCCCTTCTCTTCCATAAATTATAAACTAAAACATTTTTCAGCCCTAAATCCAGAGAATATTTCTCATAGCAATGAATCCGTTGTTGTAGTTACGTGGCTGGCACCGACTACAAAATATCTCTTATGTCAACATTTCTATGGAGATGTTTTTCTTTTATTTATAGGAAATTTATGTGTGGGCTTTTTTTAAAAGTTTATTTATTTTGAGAAAGAAACCGAGCGAGTGGGGGAGAGGCAGAGAGATAGAATCCCAGGCAGTCTCCACACTGTCAGCACAGAGCCTGATGCGGGGCTTGAACTCATGAACCATGAAATCATGACCTGAGTTGGATGCTTAACCGACTGAGCCACCCGGGTGCCCCTACGCTTTTTCCTAAGGCTAAACCATCCACCTGTGCTTTCGGTCTAATTCTTGCTCCATCAGTTATGCTTCTGCTCTCCTCTTCAGGCTTTCCTGCCCCACATGCTCCAACCACTCTGTCAACAGGGTCAGATTCTGCCTGATCCTCCCCACCCCCCCCCCCCCCCCCAAATTAAATCCTAGTTCCCCCTAGACCCTTATGTGGGGCAATCATTCCCATCTCTCCTTTGCCTGGATTGTCCCATTTCCCTGGGAAGAGTTATCCAGCTTCCTTGGGAGTTCAAGGTTTTAAGGAGGGATCCCGGGGATCGTGAGAGGGATTAAGGTGGGTGCACCCCCCACCCCCAGCCACCAATTCTTCCCATAGGGCCGTCTACATTTGTCAATGTTTATGTCACTTTTTTGTAAGATTGTCTTTCTAGAAGTCTGAAAACGGTTCCCTTAACACCCAGTGCGTGTCAGGTGTTCCTTCTTTTCTTGTTATCACTTAACCTGTTTCTCTAAACATTTCACCATGTGGAACACCTGCTGTGTTCCAGGCCCGGCACCGGGCACAGGGGCTGCTGCACAGTGGTGGGGAGAAACCGCCGTCCTCATCGGCAACTTTGTAAATTAACAAACCCTGTAACGCCTTTTGCTCTTCCATTCAGTCCCCCCGCCCCCGTCCTGAGAAGTACAGCAGGGAGTGTCCTCTTGGAGTCTTTATTCTAGAGACGGAGAGCGTGCAAATGAAATGAGGCCCTGGGATAGAGTGTGGCTTGGCAGGGGGCAGTGGACCTCACACAGGGGGTCAGGCCAGACCTCTCCGAGGAAGAGACGTTTGAGACGGGGATGGCGAGAAGGAGCCAGTCAGATGAAAGCCTGGCGGGCTGGGGACCTCTTGGGCAGAGATGGCCATGTCAAAGGAAGAGGCCACCTTCGGTATTCAGAACAAAAGGCTGCACGTAGTGCTTGCTGAGCAAGAGAGAACTGAGCTTGCACAGTCTCTCTGGACAAAGAAAACTGCTGACCTTGAACGGGGTTTCAGGAAGCAGTGGGGTCAAGGGTTAGCAGACTTCCCGAATCCCTTAGGAATGGAGGGTTAGTTGTGGAGGCGTGGCTCCCAGAGTGAGGCTGCTGGGAGATTACTGATGTGGAGTTGTCATTGATCATTTCTGGGACTTCCGTGGAACTGTGGCCAAAGACCAGTCATTTCTTTTCTGAGACTGGGGGTTGTGGCAGGCAAGCCCATGGACATGTGCCCCTCAGATCCACCTTGGAGAAAGGACCAGCTGCCTGGCTCTGAGGGGTGTGGTCAGATGCCATCTCCAGCTGATACTTTCTTCAGGGTCTGCTGCAGATTCAAGGGTCTGCTGCTATGCCCGAGCGAGGCAGTGGGAGCTGACAGCGTGCTGTTTTCTGGCATCTTCCAGCCAAAGACCGAGCAAGGTGGTGGCCCAAGAACTAGCTATTTCTGCCCAACCCGGGACCCTTCAACAACAACAACAACTGTGAGAGAGCCAGAACCTCTCTGGTAACTTGCTAAGAAGCCCTCACCTCACACAGAAATTAAGCAGAAGAAGCTGGAGGTCAAGTACAGGAAGTGATGGTAAAAGTAGTAACCACCAAAAACGTTCAACAAGCCAGGTTTGTTCTGCCAAGGTCAGGACCAAACTCGGATAATGAGAAGGGGACACCGGGTGGATGCCCCCAACAGTTTTGACCCCGCTGAAAGTTTCTGAACACTCTGGGCCTGCAGAAGAGGCTCTCCCTTTCCCCATTAAGAACTTGAACCACCCCTCCCCCCTTCTCCCACCCTAACAGGAGGAAATGCAAGACGCATAGAGATCTGGCCCTGTAAGGCAACAGGTACCCTAGCAGCTGACCTATCCCATCTCCCAGGTCGATACCCAAGGTTAAGTCATAGCACCACCTGGCTGGGGTCATGCCAGGCCGGATGAAGGAAGCAATGGATAATGTGCCGAAGGTACTGTAGGGGCAGGGGCCAGGAGCGCGCCCGTGGGACCAGGTTCCGCAGGTGCTCGGTCAGAAGACTGGATAGAGGGAATGTCTACGACTTGGGGATGTCACTCAGGACACGGGATTTAACACCGTGAGACAAACTGCAGGCAATGGTGCAGACTCAGTGCCTTAGGGTAGGTGACTCCCAGAGGCCTGGAAAAAGCGATAGAAATGTTGAAACGCCTGAACTGCCAAGAGAGATATAATAGAGGAAGGAATGCCAAGCTCCCAGAAGGGGCCTTGCTGGAAAGGATAATTAGCCAAGGCAATAAGACCCATCAGGAGACTTTTGCCTTATCTGCTAGGGCTGCCGTAACAAACCACATAGCCAGGGTGGCTCAAGCAGCAGAAGTACCTACAGTGCTGAAGGCTGGGAATCCTAAGATCAAGGTGTTGGCCAAGTCAGTGCCTGGCGAGGGCTGGCTTCTGGCTTTGCAGACAGCCGTCTTCTTTCTCTACCCCTACGCAGCAGCTGGGGGGAGGTATCGGAGGAGGTCAGCGAGAAGACACCACCGCCATTTGACCCAAGAGCTGGACCCAGGTAGTTGGAGGCTCCCACCTCTGCCCTGTCCTTGGAATGTGTGTCCCACTTGCCCTTCCCGCTCCTAGATGCCCCTGCAAGGACACAGCCTTGGGATAGAGATGGTGATGGGACGGGATGCCTGGGTGGCTCAGTTAAGCATCCGACTTCGGCTCAGGTCATGATCTCGCAGTTCGTGGGCTTGAGCCCCACATCGGGCTATGTGCTGACAGTTCAGAGCCTGGAGCCTGCTTTGGATTCTGTGTCTCCCTCTCTCTCTCTCTCTCTCTCTCTCTCTGTGCCTCCCATGCTCACACTGTCTCCCTGTCTCTCTCTCTCAAAAATAAATAAACATTAAAAAAATAAAACAGAAGTGGTGATAGGACCATCTGGACTGGATACATGACTCACCCAGTTAAGGCCTCTTACGTGCAGCCATCCCCCCTTGTCTGCAGGGGAGACATGCTAAGACCCCCAGCAGATGCCTGAAATCGCGATAGTACTGAACTCTCTATATACTGTTTCTTCCTATACATACATCCCTATGATACAGCTTAAATTTTTAAAAATTAGGCACAGTGAGGGATTAACAATAACCAATAATAAAATGAAAACAATATTTTGATATACTCTAATGAAAGGTTTATGAATATGGTCTCTCTCTCAAAATCTTACTGGACCGCACTCACCCTTCTTGCGATGATGTGAGATGATAAGGTGACAAGATGAAGTGAGGTGAGTGACAGGGGCATTGTGAGGTGGCGTTAGGCCGCTACTGACCCTCTGACCGTACTTCACACGGAGGATCATCTGCCGCCGGGATTGAGGTTGGCTGCGGGCACCCGGAGCTGTAGGGATCGAAGGTGCACCTAAGGGGGGGTCTACTGTAAACATCAGAGGTTGGGGGGGGGTTACAGAACGCCACTC